AACCGTCGTCTTTGAAAGACTTGGGAAGTGTTGTCACATTTTTGCCCTTCTTTTTGCGTCGATTCAGTTTCAAGAGTTTCTCCAATCGTTTCACTTCTTTCTCTTCCCTTTCAATATCTCTCTTCTCTCTTAAACTCAATTGTCTTTTACCTTTTGGTTTGGGTTTTGGATCACTCTTTGGTTTGATTTCTACCACTTTTGGTTCACTTTTGGGAACAGTTGTGTTGTCTTTATCTTCGACCACAATATCCTCTGTTTTTAGTGATTTCCTCAAAGAATGTAAATTTTTTCTCTTCTTTTTGTCTTTTCGGGCATTTTTTCGTTCAATTCTTCGACTTTTCATTTCCTTATAATTTTGTCATTTATTGAATCAACAATTAATGGACACAAAAACCTCAACAATGGACTCAATTCACAATTTATAGTATATTTAATATATTTATTACAAACAACTCATCACTTAACTTAAAAAGTCTAAATCTAATTACATTAAATGCTGAAAACAATTAAAAGTGAATTAAAAGAGACATTGAATTGAAATGTATTGTGAGATAACGTCAACACAAACACGTGTTTGACGTAAACATAGTATGCATTGAATGAGTGGCGAAATCTGTTGTATTCACCACTCGTTTGTAATTCACGATTAAATAGCAATTTGTTTATCAATTTATTTGTCGTTTATTTGATTCAATATTTTAGTCAATAATTTATATTTGTAATCAATTTATAAATTATGAGTCTCTATAGAGTATTGTTGTCACCGATAGGCTATAGATGGGATCATTTGTTGGCCAACGGATCCAACAAAAGGTTATGCGGTTTGACTTCATTGAGGACACTGTCGAAGAAGATCTTCGATGATTCGGATCCCAAGACAGTGGAGATCAAGAAGGAGTTGACTGATCTGAAAGACAAGGAGTTGTATAACGAATACTCACAGCCAGAGAAGGGATGGGTTTACGACAAAAAGCCCATTAAATACATGTGCAAAGAAGGAAAGGCTTACCTCTGGTGCAGTTGCGGTCGAAGTCATCGACAGGTATTGAGACAATCAATCAATTGTTTGAAATCACATCAAAAGCTTTTAATTATGATTAGAGTATATATAAAGTCAATGATAAGACATTTTCATACAAGTAATAAAAGGTATAATACAATAGATTTACTGCAAATAATCACTCGATAAATACCTAAAAATTGAGATAATTATAAATGACTACATAATTAGCATTTGATAGTAAAGTATGCGGTATTCATAGAATGAGTGGTCGATTTGAACAAAACAAGTATCACTTTGTTATATAACTTAATAATGTGTGTATATGTGTAGCCCTTCTGTGACGGCACTCATAAGAACAAACATCTGAAGATAACTCTTAGACCGATTCGATGGGACTGTTTGGAGACTAAGGAGTACTGGTTCTGTAACTGCAAACAGACAGCGCACCGACCCTTCTGTGACGGCACCCATAAGAGCGATGGCATCCAATCGGGACAGTCAACCATTCGGGACGCAAACTCTCCCCCTTTTATTAACGATACGATTAATGTTGTTAAATAGGCTTATCATATGTGTGTATATATACGGTAGTAATTAATGGTATACAGTCTGTACGGCCAATACACTAATACATTAGACATTCTATAGATAATTAACAACTCAAAGCATACATTCAAATACAGTGTACTGTATATCCATAATATAGACACTCAAAAGTGAATCCAAATATTATTAAATAAAAACATTGATTTTAACTCATAATATGACTTAACGTTTGCTCTAATACTGAGGCTATCAATGGTATGAATTGTGACGAGAGATCGCAAACATTGGTTTGCAGTGAATTAATGATTAAATTGAGGTCTCTTTGTATTCAATTGTTTTGTGATTTGTTGTGTTTTTGTCAGTTATCGACAAAATAAAAACTAAAAATCAATCGACAAATCAGTGGTCTATTCAATTGCTTTAGCGATGAAGTCATAGAAACGTTTAGCATATTGTTCCGGATGTACGGTTGAGATTTCGGCCGTTGTCCCGTGTTTTACCGTTTTGGCCGCCTGTGCCGTACGCTTCCGGATCCCAAACTGTGTCAACACATCCACTAAACCTATGAAATATATCTCACGTTTAGGGCCCTCTGTATCACACAATTGGAGACAATGAGACAATCATTAGAAAAGTCATTAATTCAAACATATGAAAGACATACCAGGACTCGACTGAATGGCGTAAATATCCCTCGAGGTGTCGATAGTGGCACAAAGTGGGAGATCATTCTCACTGGCGTCCGACGCCTTGTGGTGAGTCTCGGGAGAGTCGGGAGGCGTCGGTACGGCTGCGTGTGGTTCTTGAGGGTCAGTGCGGTCGCCGCCACTGGACTCTCCCTCGTCCTCTTCGGACTGTTGTTGTTGTCGATCATTGGGCGCGCATTCCATGAGTTCCTGTTCGGCCCTCTCGGCGTCATGAATGGCCACACATAGGGAGTAATCCATGATATTCTTCTTGACCAAGAAGGCAGTGTCCGCCTCAAGCATTTCCAAGAACTTGTGTTTGCGTTCGTCGCTCATGAATATGCGAACGCCATCGCGAGTGAAGTCGTTGTCTTTGAACACCGGATTATCCCTTCCCTTCTCCTTTTCGGAGGCCTCGCGATCCACAGTCGAGCCCTTGAGATCATACTTGCGATGAATGCTGAGACCAGAGGAGCAGATGTTTCTCATGACACAGATGTAGGTCTCTGTGCCCTCGACTGTCAACCGATACATTCCCAGGTATTGCGGAAGTAATGTCTTTCCGTGTCGTTCGACAATATATGGATGATATTCTTTAAGCAAGTGATGCATTGACTCGACCTCATCGCTGGTCAGCGTCTTCAGTACGAAGAGGTGATCGTATGACTCGTAAAACTTGGCGCCCGAGCGTCCGCTGCCGGTCTGGACGGTGGGCTGGTATTTGGTGAGAGAGTTGACGTAATCGTTGTCATCGATTTGGAAGCGATCCCTCAGGTTCTGAAAGACGAGCGGACAGTACTCTTTGACTTTGAAATGTGAGGCCATATTCTCCTTATTGAACAAATGGTTATCCACTTTCACTTTCGTATGCGCTTTGAAGTCGTCGGGCATTAACACCACCGGAGTGTTCACGTGAGTCAACTCATGGATCGTGTGGTTCACGCCCCACATCAGCACCGATAGCAGCGGTTCCGACGCCCGGAACAGCTTCGCCTTCTGGTGCTTCGGTTTGAAGCGTTTGGTTTTGATCTTCAATGGCTTAAAACTCGACTGATTTGAAAACGACATTATCTCTCAAATGCAGAGTTTGTCACAAATGTATTCAATGGTTGAGTATTTGGTGTGACGTTTGGGACACAAGTACTGCAGGAATTCCTATCGATTTGTCGTCAACTTTGCCTCCGCTTTGCGTCCGTTTGCGTCAATTCATGCAATCAAATGCCATTCAATTGGCTGTAAATGGCATTCAATTACAATCCAAACCCACTGTTAATCACTTAAATGCAAACAAACATACATTCAATACAATTATCATTGAATCGCATCTCAATTATGGCTTACAAACAGTTGTGATACCAATTGTGGTGACAATCACTGCATTGGCGACCAATTGTGGTGACAATTGATGGCACAGACTATGAGATGTGTTGATGTGTTGACCGAAAACACTGTTAATTGTATAATAAATTCATTTAAATATAGCAATCATTTAATGAGTTATGAATTGATTGATTGATTGCTTGTGTTTTGTTATGTGTTTCATAACATACTGAACACAACTGAACACAACTTAATGTACACTAATGTAGACACCAATCAATTTGTAGCTCAATATCAATACAACACTATTACTGTGTATTCACTACAACACTACTATTGTATTTGTATTCAACACAACACTCAATGTTCAATCAATTTCATAGGCTTTGCAGTATTACACAGAGTTCGCTGACTAATGAACAACACATTAACTGCTCATTCAATTGGTTATACAGTTAACACACTTTTATAACGATTTCTAGGTTTGACAAACACTTTGAACTTTAGTGAGACATCTATTGGTTGAACGCTTACTATTACGACACACTTATAGAGCGACGATTCGGACACACATTGACTCGATTTGAGTCGTGATTAACATTAATTCGGCATTCATTGGACGGAAGTGTGATCTCAACGTGTATTACATAAGAGGCGGCCATTGGTTGCCATCGATTGCCACATAAGAGTGAATAGCAATGAATGGGAAGTGAATGACGAGTGAATGGGAAGCGATTGTATGTCCGAAAGCGACGCTCTCTATGGATGTGACGCCAGAAAGCGCTTCAATTCAATGCAAACCAGTGTTTGAATTGTTTGGCATTTGAAACACATTTGCAATACATTTGTTGTCTCTCTCTTTGGGATCAAGTGATCCGACAATAAGTGACAGTTTTGGTGACATTATGTCTGAATACTCGGTGACGGATGGATCGGATCCGTGCGTCGAGACAACACTTCGAGGACACCGACAGGCAGTGAACTGTGTGTCGTTCTCAGGCGATGGCAAACAACTGGTCTCGGGATCCGATGACAATAACGTGATGTTGTGGTCGTTGGACGACAAACAGTCCATTTGCTACCGATTGGTGGGTCACTCGAGTTCTGTCCAATCGGTGGTCTTTACGCCGCAATTCCTGCTCTCGTCGTCGAAGGACTGCACCGTCCGGTTATGGCGTATGAATCGCATCAGCGGAAGACACCCGGAGAACGAGTCTGTGGTATATCGATGTCATTCATCATCGATCAGATGTGTGTCGGCCTCAGCGGACGCGTCGGCCTTCTGTACGGCCAGCGATGACAAGACGGTGAAGATATGGTCGCCGATCGCCACCAATAAATTCATAGGCACTCTGTCTGGCGTTCACACCAATTGGGTTCGACACGCGAAGTACTCGCGACTGAACCAGCATTTGATTGGTTCGTGCGGTGACGACGGTTTGGTCGCCATTTGGGACGTCCGCACCAGAGATGCCGTCATTCAGTTGACGCCTCGACGCAAATCAACTCACTTTACATCACTTGAATGGCACCCGAACTGCGAGCACATCATCTCGTCGTCGAGTGCCGACACATCCATCAGAATCTGGGACTTAAGGAAAGAGAAAATGATTCAATACTATGCCGCCCACACCGGCGCCGTCAACGCCACCGACTTTCACGCGTCCGGCAATTATCTAATCAGCGCCTCATCTGACGAGACGTCTAAGATATTTGATTTGCTGGAAGGCAGGGGTCTCTTCACACTGAAGGCACACAACGGCGCTGTCAACGCCTGTGCCTTCACTCCCGACGGCCAGTACTTCGCCACCGCTGGCAATGATAAGCAGATAATGATTTGGAAGAGTAATCTCATGAATGGTTTAGATCGCAGCGAATATATGTTACAATTGGATGAACCCATTGACGAGCCATTGCTTCTCAACCCGAGAGATCACATCCGACCGCAAAGTCATTCAACTCCTCAATCGTCTAAAGCGAGTAAATTTCAAACACCGGTAATGAATGGCAATCGAGTGCCTCTAAAGTCAGCCCTTCGGCGCTCGTGCTCTGAAGAGATTAAGCCAATGACGACCACTCCTAAGCAGACACTGTACACAAACGCCAGACATAGCACTCGATGGCGCGATAGAGTTGATGGAAGGGATGTGCGAATCAACAACAGTGGAGATCATCTAAATTCAGCCAAATCTGAGTCCATAACTCAGACATTCATCAATCAATTAAAGACATTAACAGATAGTGTTTTACTAATTGAAGAGCGATTGTCAACATTAGAGGATAAGTTTGAAACTCATTGCACCGCACCGTCAGCTCACGGCTCCAGTAATGGATAACTTATTTTTGAATATGAATAACACTTTTAAAATAATTTGTTAGTTTTATAAGAAAATTTAATTTCATTTTAAATACCATTTAAACAAATTTCTCTTTTATTACTCCTAAGAATTGATTTTTAATTAATGTTTTGAATTTTGAATACCATTTAATAATATCGAGACGTCTTTGTATTTTGTACTCTAAACTGAAATTGAGTTCATTTTGTAGAATATGTGGTAAATCTCGGGTCCAATTGGAGACATAAATGAAGGGCGGGTTATGTTGTTTGAGTTGTCTGAATGCAGTTCGCGTATCACAACTCGTTTTCTTCATATGATTCACATTGTCTTCGATGACGGGAACGGATCCGAAGGCCATGGCTTCGTATATGCGATAACATTCGTGATTCATTCCCATTGGACTCAGTGTTAAGTCACTTAAACGCAAAGACTCGACATAATAGCTCAGCGAATCCGTCGTCTCCTTCGGCTGCCATTCAAAGCGCACTTTTATTATACAAATGTCTTTATATTTCTCTTTTAATATATTGAGTAATTCGAGTCGTGAAGAGTCGGCATATATAGTGGCGACCAAATTGCACACATAGGGACGGCTCGTCTCGAAGTTCACTTTGACCGCCTCAGGGGTCGGGAACTGACGATAAGTGGCCACTCCTAACGGCCACTGATATATCACTCGATCATCAATTAGTTTCCAGTCGTAAACAACGAAAACGAATTTAACAAATCCTCCGTTGGATTGAAGGTAAGGCCTGAGCCATGAGTTATGGCACTGTTCGTCGCCCAACACAACGAGTCCCACATTTCTAATCTGATCCTTAAGTCTGTCCACTCCTGCGATCCAATCGACGGCGAACTTAATCTTCTGTTTGTCGCGTCCATTGAGAACAAGGATCAGATTGTGAGCACTCATGTGTTGCAGTGAATCAATGGTAAGGAGTGGACCGCTTCTGAACTTAAAGCGAAAGCCGTTGAGTTTGGCGGCGCCGGACACGTATGCGTTGCCATCGGCTCTGGTCTCCAGACTCGCCCTCAGGATGTGTTGCCATAAGTAGAAACCAATGGACGCTTTGGACCACAACTCAATGGACACCACATCCGAGTCGTTCACCACCGGTTGGCTTGTCTTCGGGTGATAGTCATGGTCTGAGTTGTAGACATGGTTTGCTTCACTCGACTCTTGTATATTAGTTGACAAACTTATCGACGAATTGTCATTAAATTTGTAATAAAACACATAAACAGTGTATGAAATCAATAATATATTGATTGCAAATATAATGACTGTTAGTCTATATATAGTTAACATTTGATTCAATTAAATCATAACTAAATCACCGCCAGTTTATTAAGTAAATATATTTGACATTGGTCATTTAGCAATTTTAATTTAACAGTAACATTACAGTGAACTGAACTGAACTGTTCAGTATTGCATTACTTCTACATTAAGACCATTCATATAAAACGTTAAATACATTTAAACCCTAATTATGAGCGTTGTTTACACAATACAATAGATATCATGTAAACCATTGTCCCCTCTATTGTGTACTTTATGTTTGTTTTGAGAGATTTAATCACAATTTTGTTTACATCTGAAACCAAACGCAGAGAAACTAAAGTTTTACACAAAAAGTATTTTAAATATTAAAAAATAAACAATTAGTTATCGATTGAAAGCAATTAATTAACTCTTGTTTACAACAATTTGTTTAAACCATTCAAAAGGTATTCACAACTGTTTCAATAAGTTTGAATTAATGTGAAAAATGGTATTTTATTTAATTGTTTTTTTTTCAGTAATCACTGTCTTATAGGAGTTTAATTGGAGTGAAATATTTGCTCATTTAATATAAATAGTGGACAAATAGATCGGCCCTTAAGAAGCGATGGCTTCTAACTTCAAAGAGCACATCCCAAACATGATTGACAGACAGCTGTTGGTCTGGTATAAGAAGTATCCCAACAAAGCAGCCATTCCTGCATCGGTTAAGTACGGGATTTGATTGCATTTGTCATTCAAAACAATGTCATAATTGATTGCATTTGTCGTATATATAGCGAGAATATGATGAAGAAAGTGACGAATAAGGCCAGAGTTCACGGCGCGCTCCTTATGATGGCCGCCACTGCCATCGGCTTCTTCTTCACCGCTATCGCCGGCAAGAGAGCCATCGAAAGGGGAGAATCAGTCAATCAAATCAATATAGACTTTCACAAGAATTATGACCACAAGAAGTAGATGTACTCAACGTAGAGATTATTATCATAAATGAAATGATATAACTGTAATGTTTATGAAATTATAGGCATATATACTAAACAAACAAATCTATTATTGAATCTATTATTACAAATAAACTTATTATTAATTTTAAGAATTCCTAATTTTATTAATTAATTATTACTTCTAATCACTTATAAAATATAAAAATTCAAACTATTAAAGGAGACGATCACTGGTCAAGCGTTGAGGTCAGAGGGTTTGTAGAAAGTCCGACACCTCTCGTCAAATACCTGTTTGTAATTCAAAAATTGAAATTAAGTCTAATTATCAAAGAGTAACACTCACTCTATGGCCAACTATAGCCGGTCAACAAAATCTGCACTACACTATGTTATACATCACTGTACAGTACTACGGGATTGCGGTGCGGCTAGAATCGACCAATCAGAGCAAAGTAAGACATGTCACATGCATTGCGGTCGTAAAACACTGCAAACTCAATCTCAAACAAAGTATGTTATGGACCGCTATCTGCGAGTATTTGACATTACAAGCAATTTAGTCAAAGCTAACCCACATATACTGTAGTTATCAGCGATTTTGTTGAACGGTTTGTCATATATATCACAATTAAGACAAATGGTTTCAAACCTTAAGAGTCCTATCTTTGACCACTTCTTCCACATTGAGTTCGTTCTGCATTAGCCTCAGTCTTGTCTGCTCTTTACGTAAACTCTTCATTACATCCAAGTCCTCGTCATTCGCTTGTCTTTTGTCTTTAAGTTGTTTGACACGAGTGGACACAACACTAATGCACTGTTTTATGGACTTTTCTCGCTGTGAATATGAGTCTTGAATCTTAAGATGAAATCATACCATAAGTACTGAAACAAGTATAGCATCAATGGGTGATCAAAACCTGATGATATAGATGTTTGCATTGATGGCCGGCATCTGATGTCTTGTTCGCGAAAGAGTCGGTCGGAAGCGATGTATTGAGTAAATGAATGATATTGTCGTCAATTTTGCGGCTCTTTTTCAGCGCATCCTATTGTGTGCATTGGATTGACATTGGGATCAATTGTCCACCAATTCATACATCGGTAATACAGACCTGAAATGCCATAAAGTCTTCGCACGTGTTGTCCATTATTTTCAAAAGTGTTTATATTTGGGAACAAGTATTTCAAAACACAAATAACGTGTTTGTCATCACTTTTTTGTGCATCCAATGAAAGAATATTTAAATTCAATTAAAACAAAATTTAATGTAATTTGCATTAAATTAATGGTTAAACATATATCGCATAATAAGTGTCCAAAACATAACATCGATTTTAAATCAATTGTTTTATTGAATCATTAGATAAATCAGTGAAATTACAGCCATATATTGTAAGACAGAATTATAATTATTTTAATTGAATGAACTAATTGTCAAATCATTATTAATATTAATATCTATTAAGTGGAAAACAAATCAAAATATTATAATTATAATCAAATGTAAACAAAATTATATTTTTCAGAAAAAGTATTGATTTCAAGAATGAGTGAAAATATTGTATTTTTAATTATTGAAAAGTTTATAAAGTTGATGAACTGATGGCAACTATTTCTCGCACCACAAGAATTCTTCGTAACATTTTGGTTACGGAAGCGTTGGTCATAGGGTTCGACGAATACCACGTCTGACTATCGGGAACACAGCCTTCGATTGGATACAAGTAAAACATGTCTCGTCTTTGGGTTACGTTTTCTGGGCTAAAATCATAACAAAAAACAAATTAATTAATTTAAATGAAATAAAAATGTTTAATAAAATACCATTTGGAGAGATAGAAGTCAAAGAGTTTGACGGGACATCTCAGCTGATTCTCCACGTTCTCATACAAAGTGAGAGTCCGTTTCTTACGGCCGCGTCCGGACTCGAAGACCAGACATTGAGTCGCGTCGTTGGCCCACTCTTTGCTTAGATTGTTGAACGAGAAGTGCGTGTGTTCTTCGAGTTGAATCATATGGAAGTATTTGGTCGCCAAATACATCACTGTATTGAGGAGGACTGTGGGCGAGTGGGCGCCCAGTTGTCCGCACTCCCAGAGGTGTTCTTCTTGAATGCAAGTGAGGTGTGGACTGTAGTCCACTAAACGGGTATGGATTGCGTGTATAAACTGTTTATACGAGGGATCCATAAAAATATTATCCAATCGATTGTTTTGCGCCAAATGTTTCTGAAGGTCGAGGCATAGCATATAGATGTAGTCGGGAGAGTAGGCCTGTCCGTGAACCTGACAGATCTCTTCCACGAACTTACAGAATATTTCGCTCAAATAGTTTTGATGCAATTGTAAAATGTTTTTCGTCTGATAATAAGCCGTCGACTGTCTCAACCATATTCTCAACGCATTAATGCCGGCGTTCGGAGTGTTTGTACTCAACTGACTCTCGAAGGCGTTCTCGTCGACCACTTCCTCCTCCTCTTTCTTACGTCGACCGCGTTTTGCGGAACCAGAATTGCCAGCACTCGTCGCAGCGCTCGTCTGTCCTCTGCCACGCCCTCGACCGCGACCTCTGGCAGCGGGTGTCGTCTCAACCGTCTCTACGTTAAAGGCCTGCGTTTGAAGACCTAATTCGTAGTCTAACTGTGTTTGAAATACGCTCTGTTGTGGCGTCTGTTGAAACTCTTCGCAAGTGTTTGACGATTCGTTTTCCTCTTCGTATTCTTCATCAGAATCGTCAAGTGATGCCTCCTCTTCCTCCTCTTCTTCAGAAGATATTTCCCACTCCTCTCTCTTCTTCCCGCGTCCTCTTCCACGACCTCTACCGCCTCCTCGACCTCCTCTTCCACGGCCTCTGCCTCCCCGTCCTTTAGGAGTGGCGGTAGACTGTCTTCGGCCGCGTTTAGAAGTCGATCCTTCAGCTGATTGTGTTTGAGACTTGCGCTTCAAATTGGTCTCATCTGCAGTCAACAACTCTTCGATATCACCGAATTGTTGGTCCGTTAGGTTTAAGCCATTGTTGTGCAGCTCTTCAACCAGAGGTGGAAGCGCTAGTTGTGGCGGCGGCGGTGGGTCTGGCTTTAGAAAGAACGGAATGGGAAGGGGAAGCGGAACAGCCAATGGCTGCATATATGATATTGGAACTGGGACAAATATTGGAATCGGCAGTAAAAGCGGACAAATAGTCTTCGGGAGCGGATCCGTCTGTGTTTGTTGATCCGCTTGAAAAGGCTTACAAGAAGTGGCTTTCGTTTGATAATGAGGTCTGAATTGAGTGCATTTGTTTCGCACCACTTTGGCTTCGGGAACCTTTACAATCACTTCTTTGGTCTCTTTTATTATTTCTTTAATCAATATCTGAGTCCCAGTTGTGGTGCCGTTTGTTTGAGTGGTCACCGCATCTGTCATTTCTGTAGACATGTCTGTATTATTCTCAGCCATATTATTGGTCACATCCGATACATTTGATGACATGTTTTTGTTGGCCAATGGAATGCTATTTGCGGCTCGTTTTTGAAGCAATATATTGGGTCTCATTTGTTGTGAACTCACATTAGACGACGGTTTCTGTTGGCCATAGAAGGATGGCGTCCACATTGTGCTCGACAATAGTGTGGGATCGGTGTCGTCGACGCCGTTGTCGGCGATAGGCAGGAGAGACTGTGGCATATGATGGCGTTGATAGTTGAAGACACACTGATAGGAGCAGAAATTGCGAACAAAAGCCGCCTCTCGGAGGAAGAATTGCGGTGTTGTGCAGGCATTGCATTGTTTGCACAATAGCTTTGTGTTGCCGAACGACACGAGTTTCGCCTTTTCCTCTTCCGCCACATCAAAGAGTGTCAAACAATTCAATGAACAGAAGAGACGGGAATCGGTTTGTGACCAATCGTAGCGTTCGATGAGATCGAAGTTGTATTTCTTCACTTTACAGCAAAGACAGGCAACGATTTTGCGATTCTTCAGGACATACATTGACATACATTTCTTCGTGCAAAAGACACGAGTGGTTCCCGAGAAGTGGAGGACGTGAAGGACGGCTTTGCTGAGTGTGTTGGCCCAGCCGTAGTTGTGGCAGTTCTCGCAGAATATGGCCTTTAATTTCTCGCCGTATTTAAAGGCCGCCACACAAGTGGACGAACACAACGAATACTTCTTATTCTTATACTTGAATTCAATTATGTTTTTAGTGTCTGCTGTGCGCCGGCACTGACCGCAGGCCACTTGACTACTGCCCCGCGAGTTAAGCATCAATTCGTACTGAGATTTGCAGATCTGATCGCAAAACTCTCGTAAACGCATCTTCTCTCCGAAGCCAAACGATGCGATACATATCGTGACACAACATTTCAGGTCTTTCTGGCAAAAGGCACACACTTTCAGTGACTTCTTGTACGTCTCCAGACATGTGCCGACACAGAACTGTTTGATGGTATCGCCGAAACGGACCGAATACTTGCCCAATGACTGCCGGTTGACTAATGTCTGGCATTGAGCGCACTTCGAGCCAAACACCAGTTGTCGGGACTGAACACACGCTGACGAACAGAACTCCATTGTCTGCCAATAATAGATCACTTTATCTTTGGTCAAAACTTTACGACAAGTGAAGCAATTAGTGTTGGGCTCTCTCTGGATGTCACTCTTCTGAAGACATTGTTGGCTACAAAGTGTGGCATTCGCTCCGAAGTTAGAACTGAAGCCCTGCTCTCCAATACTGATGATAGCCATACACGAGGAACAGCTGTCGAGTGTCCGCAAAGTGGCCACACATTCCAGTGAACAACAGTTCTCTATCTTATCATTGATTTTCACCTTAAACTTGATTTCTTTGTTTTGTCCGCAAACCAAACATATAGTCTCCTGAGACTCGTATTGACTGTCAGTCAAGTCAATCACTTCTATGTTCTTCTCCTCCTTTTCCACTTGTATTATCTGAATGTCGTCGTCAATGAAGTCCACAATTGATCCATTGGTCGCCGCTTTGGAGGCGTTGGACGGGACGGCAGACGACACCAAATCCAAGACATAATCCATCAAATCCTTCACTTCTGCGGTCACCTCGTCGTCAAACTCATCGATCAGACAGTAATTGGATTTCTTGGCACGGATTGAGTGGTCGCGTGACATGTCATCGGAGCTCATGGACAGCGACACCAAATCCATCATATAATCCACGCATTCATTGCATTCTTCGCCGATTGTCTCGTCCGTCTGCGACACATCCGGAGCGGCCGACGAGTTGTCACAATCCACGCGATCGTCCATTGAGTCCATATGAAGACAAATCACTTCAAAACTAATTGATTAACCATTAATTGAAATGCAATTTCAAAACAATGAAAACGTTTGAAAAATGCCCGAAAAATCACTCAAAAAACAATGCAATCAACGCTTGAACACAAATTATGTGCTATTTATAAACCACTCATTAATTACAGCTGAATATCATTTGTTGTGTTATTCTGAACCCCAAACACAGGCTTTTCAATACATTAGAGAGCATATCAAGCAATCGCGCCCTCAGTATAGACGCCCTCCTCTCACGTAATACAGTGTACAGTGTTTTTGGACTGTAATTGTCATCACATTTAAGCTTTGGCTTCAAATGAAAACGTATTGTTTGAATAGTTTTGTTAACATTTGATCCAAAAAATGCTTTTTTCAAGACATGAATCAATATTGAGATCAATTTAGTGGTCAAACATCTGGACGAAGAGATATACTTGAGTGGATCCGATGGCAGACAATCTGTTGATATTGAAAGGCTCTAAAGGGCTGTCTATAGTAAGCGGTGACAAACCGTACGGCGAGTTGAAGTCATTGAGCGCTTCCAATAACGTGCGGTCCATCGATGTGTCCACTGATGGCAAGTATCTGGCCTTCGCTGACAACAACTTTGTGAAAGTGGTAGCGCTTCCCGCGTGCGATACTGTCTTCGAGAAGACTGGAGTTAACGTGAATTTTGTGAAGTTATCGCCGAAGAGCACAGTATTGGCGACTTGGCATCACTTCACCGCTTCCAACACTCTTAACCTCAATCTCTACGATATCTCCACTCAAACACATCTCATTGGTATCTCATTATAATTGTATACATCTATTAGTTTATTAATGTTGTCAACACTTGTTGTGCGCAAAGGATGGCCGCAGAAGAAGCCGAGCCGTTGGTGTCCGCAGTGGACGGACGACGAGACGGTTTGTGTCCGCCATATAAACATGGAATTGAATTTCTATGAAAACAATCGCTACGAGAGATTCACACAGAGGATGTGCGCCCAGAAAGTGGCCAACTATTCAATGGTGACAAACAGCCAAACGGGCTGTCATTACGTGGCCTGTTATACAGTGGGCGTGAAAGGACAGCCAAGTTTTGTCCGCATATATCAATTCCCACGCTTTGACGGCGTGGCCATCGCTAACAAGAGTTTCTATAAAGCGGATACTGTGGACTTCAAGTGGAACCACAGGGGTAAGCCCTTTGCGCCCTAATTGTTTGAATTAAACATTGTTTTCATCCAATGATACTTTATTACAGGTGACTCTCTTCTGTTGGTTTGCTCTACAGATGTGGACCAAACCGGTAAAAGCTATTACGGACAGCAGACTCTTCACTACTTGGATATTACGGGTCAGACATTTATAGTGAGCCTTAAAAAGGACGGACCCATCCATAACACGGCTTGGGTTCCGGGCAATAGTACTTTGTTTTGTGTGATCTATGGCTTTATGCCGGCGAAGACTTCTCTCTTCAATAATAAGTCGGAAACTGTGTTTGAATTTGGAGAAGAGATGCAGAATATAATATCGTTCAATAGATTCGGCAATTTAGTAGTGTTGGCAGGTTTTGGTAATCTTAGGGGTGGTGTTCAGGTCTGGGATATGAAGCAAAAAAAGCTTATTTCTCACTTCAAAGCCCCCGACACTACACTTGTTGATTGGGCTCCCGATGGACGGCATATCATGACCGCCACTACAGCGCCCAGACTTCGTGTTGGCAATGGATTTCGCATTTGGACTTACAGTATGCATAATATTTCATATTATTTATTAACTCAATTATACTAAATATTTGCTATTATTTGTATACGTAATTTTATGTATGCATAATGCATTTACATTTACGGTACATTTAATGTAACTTTATAGCGTATCAAAGTCTATTATCGAGTCTACGTTGTGTACCGGTGTAAACATTCTCACAATCAGAGTCAGATGAAATAAGTTTGTAGATTCTATTATAGAATTTCTATAACCATATTCTATATCCATAGATGTCAGTTCAACTGTATGTTAATTATGTGTCGCTTTCAGTGCACTATGGAATCAATTGCAATAAACTAGGTCTTTATTAATTGGCTTGGTTTTTGTTTTATTATGTTTGATATGAGTATTATAATATTTTGGATACATTACATGCCATTACAAATGAAAATTGTGTCCAATTAGTCTATAGTAACTTTTATAACAAGCTAAGTTAGTAAGTAAATCTATACTAGCGTAGGATTTATATTTTCAATAAATGTTAGTTTATTTTACTAATTGATTCTTAATTGATTTGAATTGATACTAATTGAATTATATTAAACACTTTATCATTAAACAGTGTAATAGAAAATAAGAGATTGTTTTTTAAATGAATGAATTAATGTATAATTGCAATGAAATGTCTATTTAGATGGTATCCGAGAACACGAGAATATTTTCGATACAAATACAGAATTGAACGAAATTATGTGGCGTCCGTCCCTTGCGTTCACTGAACCAATCATTGAAATACCGAAAGCAAATGCTGTCCCAAAGCCCGCCGAACCCAAGAAGTATATACCACCGCATCTGAGAAAGACATCCACCAATCCCTCTGCCAATAGTACTAAGACATCGACTCCTAATCCAAACCCTTTGTCAGAAAGCGAGAAAAAGATGAAAAATGTGGAGAAAAAATTGAAGCAAATCAATGATTTGAAAGAATTGATGGCTTCCGGCAAAACTCTGGAGAAGAATCAGATGGAAAAGATCACTAAAGAACAAGAATTATTGGATGAGTTACGAGAATTGAGCATTCATTCATAATTTGTATTAAATTTTTAATGTTTTTATAATTAAATTTTAAAGCATTAAATTGTTAAATAAATGTCATTTTTAAGTCAATTGTTATAATGACTGTATTTGGGATGTATTTTGTGGTACTTATGATTAAGATCTATGTTATTGATTCTATAACATGAAAGTGTGTAATAAATTTTAATTAAAAAAAACAAAAATTATTTAGATTTATACAAACTAAATATAATTAGAAATTCTTATAAATCTTGTGATATGACATTAAATAGTAATCGTGTCAATACTATTCAATCACTGAAATAATACAAATGTTATGGAAATGTAATAATTTGTGTAATATTGTATACATGTATAGTATATAAGGGAATTGATTGACAAATATTGAGTATTGTATGACTTGATGGGCTATTTTTACACGGAATATGTTTACAAAACATGCAATAATTTATATGAAAAAGCAATGGATCAGTAAATATCAAACGGAATGTTAACATAAATGTTAATATTTGTTGTGTTCACATAAACAAACAAAATATACGCTCTAATTATTTATTGAGATGACTTTGATTGTTGTGTAAATTATGAGTGAATAAAACAAAAAATTTACTATTTTTTACCAAAAGATATGATAATCGATAAATTGCGAGAAGAGATGTTTAGTAACTTGTTTTGCTTCAATTCAAAAACACGTAAAAACTATATTCTCAGACAATGTTTGCCTATATTTTAGGAAAAGAGTTTTTATGCATTAATGTAATGTAAGTTAACCTAAAATATTTATATTTGTGACTATCGATCAGCATTTTTAGCTACATTTGGGCACACTTTTTATAAAGTAAAGTATTTTTAGGTTTTTTTTCAACAATTCATATTCGTGTCTCATCTCAACACTTTTAGACACGAATTTTCGCTCAAATAAAGAGAGCTTTATATTGAGAGAGAGAGAGAGAGAGAGAGAGAGAGAGAGAGAGAACATTAATGATAACTAAACGACTTGCAGTAGATGTATATTTATATACATAGTATATGGATGTATTGTACGATTGCAGTCGACCAACGGATCAAGAGAGAGAGAGAGAGAGGCGAATGTGGGAAGGAGTGAGTATTAGTTTTTAGGAAACGACTAACAAATCATACATTTTGGCATTAATGAGGTCTCGGTATTAATAGCGATGCAATCAATTGCTTGAGATTATGGAAAGAGTGTTAGAAAATTATAGGAAAAAGTAAACTAAAAAGAGGATCGTTTGGATGTAGTGTACGATTGCAGTCGACCAACGGATCAATAGAGAGAACATTAGGGAACAGTTGTTTGTTAGTCTGTAATGTTGGGCATGCGTTGCCTCTTATGGATCACATACTCTATACTATAAGATACGAATGTAATGCCAATAATACTGGCCATCACTTTGAATACAATCGCGATTCAGTTGTGGTGATGGCTGTGTCTCTTTTGACACTATGAGGCTGTGATGGCATACTATGTATATAAATATACATCTACTGCAAGTCGTTTAGTTATCATTAATGTTCTCCATTTGAACAAATAATTATAGTTTAGATTTGGTTGAAGAGAGTGTAGATTCTGGCAATTGTGGCAAATATAAGGCACCAGTTATTCATTCAATGCCTCATTCAAACAATTGTATAAATGTTAATTTGAATCAATTCTTCACACAAATGTTCTCCTCTATGTTTTTCGGACACAAAGTTACTGACCCTAAGCCACACGAGTCCGATGCGGACCCCAAAAGAGTGACCGAAAAAGAATTAACTCATTTGAATCATAAGATTGTAAGTTTGTATTCATTTCATCATATTTTTCTATATATCTCTTCCAATCGTTATATTATTTTACTTTTTTTTGAATTTATATCAAGCGTTTGATGACACGATAATTATTGCAATTAATTAATAATTAATAGATGAGCTCTATTTACTGAAGCAATTATTTGAGTACTTTGTGATTGCATTCAAAAAAGCTATTTAATGCCTATTTTTCCTTTTAATACTTCTCATTCATTAATTAAATACATGTTATTCTTTAAATATTTATTAAATCTGAACACATATTTGATACTGTATTCATATAAATAGTGATTTTATTTTACAATATGATCTGTTTATATGTAAATATTAAATTTAAAATACAAATTATATTTGTTTTATATATATATTTAATGCATTGACGAAAATATTCTGTATTTACTGTGGATTTGAACGAAAGTGATAATTACTATTACGTTTGTCTGAGACTTTTGCGATAAATTAAAATTTTAATCAACGTTTGCTATTAATATTAATAATATCACAACTTATTTGCATTCATTGACACATTAATATGCAAACAATTCATCATTTTATATAAAGTCCTGCAATCAATGCGAGTCTTAACTGATTAATCGTTTGATAAGAATTATTAAACGAATTGACGACAGAATATGAATAAAACATTTTATTATATAATATACAGAATTATGCAGAGTATGGAAGATATGAATAATTAGCGATTTAATAGTTTAACACTGTTTACCAAATGATTTATTTTTGAAAAATGTTGGAAACAATTAAATTGTATCATTAAAATAGTATTTGTGACTAATTATAGCATTTAATAAAAGGATTGTTTACCTGTTGATGGGTTTATATATTTTGATATTTACACAAGAATCATAGCGTTTACACGTGATCGACCTTAACAATTGAATAGTATCTGTACTGAAGTGCACCGATATATTATGTTTAGTATATTATAATAAATTGGTATAAATATACAGTATAAATAATAAAATATTTGAGTTTAGCAAGTTCATCTCATTAGATATCGTTTATAATTTTAGGCAAACATCATTAAAACAAAAATAACACAATACTGTATAACAGAGTTTATAATCGAGTTATAGTTTGAACAAACATTTTATCTCAAATACAATCTTATTTTGTTTAATATAAAATGAAATTGATTTTTAAGTAACTTTTTATTATAAATAATACCATTCTCTTAGAATATAATTTTATTAGTACTTAAAAAATATGTTTAAACATATGATATTAATGCATAAAATATTGTATTTACAGAATAATAATATAGATTAACGTAAGATTTTGATGATTGAATAAAACAATTGAAATCATAATGGATTTGTTAACACTTATTTTCAACGATAAAGTGAAACACATTTGATCGTTACAATTATCGATTGCGTCTGTAATATAAAGTCTGACCAGAATTTCAAAACGAGTCCAAATTCAAAGAACTTTTAAAGCGAATACAAGACTTGAATTCATCCATTAATCTTTGATAATATATTAAATTTTTTCTTTTATATATAAAATCTATTTTATTATCAAAAGATTTCTATTCCATAAACATTTTTAATCACAAATCTATCGATTGTTCAGTTTTTAAAGAAGTTATTCCTATAAAAAATAATACTATTTTGTGGATAAAATTCAACTCAATATTAAATTCAATTCAAGTCCACAGCTATTAAATGCAGAAATATTTTCTGGATATACATTATAAAAATCAGTGCAAAATACAAAACATATTATTGTTTAAGTTATATGAAAATCCCTTTAAAACCAGAAATGCGTGAAATTGAAAATAATAAGTAATATATAGATTATTTATATGCCATAAAATACATATACAATGCATTTTATATTAATATTTTATCAAATTTTCAAATTTCTATAGGTTTGGACACTATTATGTGTAATATAGAGAGCATTACTCCACCCAATAATGATTGCCTCCGAAATAATAACTTTCGTTGAATATGCCTTAAGTTAATGCCTTATTAATAATCATTAAGTAATACCTGTCATCATAATAATAGTCACTCAAATGCTTTAGTGAACGACTTGTTGTGTTATTTGGTAAATATTTCACTGGAATTTTGATATATATTGAGATCCAAACCAATTTTGTCCATTAAAATAAATCAATTTCAACTATTCTTGAATGCTATCCTACTCTCTCTCTCTCTCTCCGTATATAATGTACAATATATTTATCTCATAATACTTTCCATTAGTTTTCTATCATTAATG